TTTTTTTGATTTGTTAGATTTGAAAGCGGATCAATCTTTTCTTTTCGTTTGTTTTGTTATTTTTTAAATGGTTAAGTCATAAAAATGGGGATTGATGATTTAATTAATTGGAAGATATAGAAAACCTTAAATCACCTTAAGCATAAGTTAAAGAGTAGGTTTCCTAGAGTTTTAGGAGCACACACCTTAGGTGAGAACCCATCCACTTAGTCCTCAGTGTAGACCTCTTAACCTTAGGTGAGAACCCATCCACCTAGTCCTCAGTGTAGACCTCTTAGACTTTAGGTGTACACCCTAGGTGAGAGCCCATCCACCTAGCGCTTAGTGTAGGTTTCCTAGATTTTAGGAGCACACCCTAGGTGAGGGCTCATTCACCTAATCCTCAATATAGGTTTCCTAGTCTTTAGGAGCACACCTTAGGTGAGAGCCCATCTACCTAATCTCTGCAGTGTAGCCTCCCAAGGTTTTAGGAATATACCTTAGGTAAGACTTTATTCACCTAATCTTCGAATGCACAATGAAACTAGACACTTGACTCTAATTCACAAACTGATCAAGACACTAGACACCAGAATGCACCGAGACGTGACCCATGCTTCCTTAATTAAATCAACAGTGAAATTCCCTCAATGACTTAACCTACAATGAAACCCAATGCATCGGGATTTGAGCTTGAATATTACACTCAAATCCTCCTGGCAGTTGGGGAAATTTGTTAACGCCACATATGGATCATCGGACTAGGATGAGTCTAGGGTCTAAGTGGCGAGGGCGATGACGACATTGCTTATGTGTGCTTAAACGAAGGATACGAAGTGAAATTATTAGAATAGTATCTCCTACCTCAAAGATCTTCAATAAGGGAGAGACAAAGATCCATGATACTATTCGCCGACTCTTGATGGGATTGTTGCCCCGACACTCTTAGGTTGTCAATAGTTCTAGCACGATTAGAGTGACTAGCCTGTGGACTGTACGACTTTACAAAATATTTACAAAAATAAAATAAAAATTTCTTTTGCATGCTAAAGAGAACTCTACATAAAAAAAGACTTGAACAATTTTTGCATGAAAACATTTCTATGAAAATTTATAAAAATCCATGGTTAGTCATTTGGATCGAGCTTAAGGACTGCCTTCTGTAGATTGTCGGGTTGACAACTCTTACCCAAGGTCGGGAAACACATAGTCCAGCTCTGAGCCCCCACTTTTACTAATGTCTTACACCCAGTCCTGATTTTTCATATGTGGCTAATGGTTTCTTTTGCTTGTGATTTTTTACAACTCATTTTTCTGACTTTCGCGTTGGGTTTTCTCATATTGTTTAATTTTCTTGCAAGTTTATTTAAATCTCCTGCAAATCATGCTATCCTCGCAACATTAATAACACAACAGTAGGAGATGCCCAGGAACGCTTTTACAGTTTATCTACAGTATTTTACTTTATTGCATTTTACATTTCAAGTACATTTTATTTACCTGCGATTTGCTTATTCTCCATACAAAACCAAACACTACACCAAAACTGAGAAGCACAAATCATCAATCTCAAACACTTAAAGCTTGGAGCCGTCGCTACAACAGGAGTTTGGAGCCAACTTTGTGGGCAGCAGGACGAGGAGCTTGGAGCGAGCAACAAGAAAATCTTCTTCAGCATTATCTCTTCCTAGTATAATAACAACCCATAGGACTTCGAGGTAGCTCGCCTAAAGCGACGTAAATCCTCACCCTCTTTTAGGCCCCTGCACAACAGGTTGTGCAGCATAAGTCCTAACTCGCTTTAGGTTCTGAGGTTGTTGTGTGGTACGACGTAAACCCTCATTTCTCTGTGGGTTATTTGCATAATCGGGTATTATGCAAATGTAAGTCCTAAATAATAAAATTGGCAGGATTAAACATTCAAATAACATCTTTTCTAAAAATGCAGCCACACAGTAGGATAGTTTGGGAAGTCACTG